TAGGCTTTATTCAAGATGCAAGGCTTTTATTGTCATGTGTACGAAGCGGCAGTGTAGATATGTCAATGAAACTCTGAGGTCACAGGCTCCTCCTACAGAGCAACACACAAGACGGATACAATAGTAAAGTAAATACAATAACATATAATATAATAGAAATAGTGCAGAATAGTCTCTTTTTTTCATTATCATTGGAGAGAAAGAAAAATAGCAGTTGTGTTTTTGTTAGTTGTAGTTGTTGTTATTGTTTTTATAAAGGTTTTGTTGTTGTGTTGTCCTCAGTGCGGCTGGTACTGGGGTCCGATGAACTGGGAGGACGCGGAGATGAAGCTGAAGGGGAAACCTGACGGATCCTTCCTGGTGAGGGACAGCTCGGACCCTCGATACATCCTGAGCCTCAGCTTCAGGTCGCAGGGCGTCACACACCACACACGCATGGAGCACTACAGAGGTGAGACACACACACACACACACACACACACACACACACACACACACACACACACACACACACTCAAGTACAATCTGTCGGAGTGCTAGCCAATAGAAAAGCATGCGTTACATAGTGATGTCACTTTGTCCCGAAAGTAAACAAAGGAGTCCAATGGAGGCGTTTAAGGTACTTCACTTATTTTTTACTTTATTTAAACTTAATACTGGGAGGAACTTCAGTTTTCACAGTTGTTTTTTACACATTAAACACATAGTCCAGAAATACACAGGACATGTTTGTTTGCATGGAGTCCCGGTCTAGAGCAAAATATGGATCCAACTATCATTATGAGAAACAGAAGATATTTTTGCAGACATGCACCACATAAGAACACACTCAGCAAAAAACATATTTACACCATTTCTTCTGCTAATTGTCGTTGTTTAATGTTGCTGTAGCCTTTAAAACGCTGACGTTGACAAAAACAAAAAGGAGCGAAAGGAACAACAGAGCACAAATAAATCATAATAAACTCAAACACGATAATCCAACAAGGTCGCACTACGACGCTGAAGCATTAATAACACCACACGCCACATGTGTGACAAACCAACAAGGTGACTCATGAAAAAAACATTTGTAACCACGCACGCACGCACGCACGCACGCACGCACGCACGCACGCACGCACGCACACACACACACACACACACACACTAACAGACACACACACACACTAACAGACACACACACACACACACACACACACACACACACACACACACACCACACCACACACACACACAACAACACACACACCACACACACACACACACACACCACACACACCACAGACTTCATAAATAACGAGGCTTCTGGCATGTGAGTCATTCTGAAGCTATAGGTCATGCCCAGAAACACATCATTATGGCAACGTGCAGCCGCGAACTGACCACAACACTTCACATCACACGGCCGGTCCAGGTGTTTTTTTTTTCTATGAAAGCGCATCGCGGCAGACATGAATCGAGGCAGGAACCATGACGCGTCAACAGGAAGAAACACACACACACACACACACAAACAGCACCACACACACACACACACACACACACACACACAACAACACAACACACACAACACCCACACACACACACACAACACACACCCACACACACAACACACACCACACAACAACACACCGTCTGGTTGCAGATATGGGAGGTGTTCTGTCCTAATTAGAGGTTTTTATTAAGAATCTTACACAGAATTTATTTTTGTAGTTTTGCCAACATAAGGGTTAACTTGTAGCAAGTCAAATATTTCTAAACAATACTGTTAAGGTTAGTTATATTCATATAAGCCCAGTTTACAGACGTGCTTGCTGCCATCAACATGTATGGATTGAATATAATGCATTACATTTCCCAGTAATGTACTTTAATATTTTTTGAGCCAATATTAGTCTGCAAAAGGAATGAAAGCTGAGCAATCTGTGCCTAATGTTTTAAAGCTCGGTTGATGCTACTCAAATCGGAAGCTATTGGTACTTGATTTCTGTGGATAATGATGTAAATGATGTGTACTGATGTTCCTTGTCGTTCTTGTCTACTGTTTTATGTTTTCATTTGGAATACTGAGCAAGTCTCCCTGAAAAAGAGATCAATGATCTCAATGGGATTCATCGAGTTAAATAAAGGTTGAAATGAAATGAATTATTTCGGTTTTTTTGTTCTTTTTTTTTCTTCTTGTATCTAGTGTCTCACTTCTCAAAATAAATACAAATTACCAAAAGTCAAACCCAGCTATTTTGCATTTTAAAAACTCCTGTGGTAGATGGTTGACTGTTTCTTTGTGTCACGGAGTATGAAGACACAAGGTGTCCTGCTATGCCTTAAAATGATGCTTATAATCAAAATACCTCCAGAGATGTAGTTTTTTCTCTCACTTTGGGGGATATTGTGCTACAAACAGCAAACAACAGGGAGCTGGCTTAATGTTGTTTTTCTTTAACATTTCCTGTAAATAAAAAGTCTCTGCAATATAAAACACAGAGGCTCGTACAGGATGTTTTATGTGGTTACTGTAAGAATGCAGCTCGGATAGCATGATAAAATGCTACACGTGGAACATAAGAATGAACACATGTTCCTCTCCTCTCTGCAGGACGTTCAGCTGTGGGTCACCCGAAGTTGAGACGCTGCCACTCGTGTGAGTTTATCGGAGCGAGCCATCATGCACTCCAAGAACGTAAATTCCTTCTGACTCTGCGCTCCAGAGTCCAGGTACAATAGGTCGAGATCGCACGCGCCTGAACCATCCAAAATGGATGTGAGCTGCCATTAGTGAGAAGTGCCTGAGACCGGTCTGTGCGTCTGCAGCCTCTGTGGTTGTGAGAATGCATTCCATGTTGTTTTTGTGTTCAATATCAAGTGCTGGCAAAAGTACAAAGTACTCCAAGTACATCCTGCATGTGTGAAGCCCAGATCAGCTGATAGCCGATAGGAAGCTTTATTTTTAAAACACTTTTAGATGTTTTTTAGGCCACATTAGCGTTGTGGTAGTCAAAATTCATTACATAATTACATGGATTTCCAATTATTTTGATGCCAATAAAAGTGTACTTTTACTTAAAGGTGGGGTAGGTAAGTTTGAGAAACCGGCTCGAGATACACTTTTTGTTATATTCCATGGAATGCTCTTAACATCCCGATAGCAATGAATATCTGAAGTGCTTTGACAATAAATACATAAAAACATTTCATCTGTGGAAGCCGTGGCGCTGTAAAAAGCACGACCAATCATCTGAGCCGGCCCGGCTAAAGTAACTGGATGGCCTACCTGCCTGTCAGCCTTCACTCTGTGCACAAACTTATCTCGTGCCCTCATTGGTCATGTGCGCGTTCGTGTGTGTTGGAGGAGGGGCTCTGTAAGGAAGTGGCAGATTTTCTCCGGTTGTGTATTTTCAAATTCAAGCGCACTCGAGCTGGTTTCTCCAAAATTAACTACCCCACCTTTAGATCTGTATTTAAGTGCACATTTGCGGTACTTGTACTTTACTTACTTTACTTACTTTACTTACTTTATTTTTTTACCCTTTTTACATCCCATAAGGAATAATAATAGGGAAAAAATAGTTATTATTATTACCCAGCATTTTATTTAATTCAATGCATTTATTCATTTATAGATTTAAAAAATACAATGAAGACACAGAATATAAAATGGGCTGGCCTTTAAAATTATTTTACTTTAATAAAATATTGCAAAACGTCTTCAACCCCTGATTCCCATGTGAGTTTGTGACCAGATGTTCTCCTAAAAAAACATGTTTTATTTGTTGTTATTGCTTTGGTTTTGGGTTCAGATTTGAATGGCAGTTAAATTGAATAATATTAGATTAAGGATTAGATTAAGGATGAATCTAACAGTAGATCAAATCTTTTTATCCTCATTTTTATCCTTGTTGAGTCAAAAATAAGCTCCCTGGTTTTATTGTAATACCTGCTGCATCAAAAATCAATGAGTGAGCAGAGTAAAGTTTGGAGGCGTTTTATTGAGCAACAAATCCTAATTTTTCCTCCCACTCACTGATTTATGTTTTAAAATTCAGCTCACGGTTTGGTTTTTAAACATCAGCTCTGAGGGAGGATTTGGAGATTTTGATAACTAGTATACCAACGACAGGAAGACGAATTCATCTGCTCATTTCAGGGTTCATATCAGTGTGTAGGGTCTCTACTTTAAAGAGTCCTCTCCTGCTGATGTTCAGGTGTATATCAGTATGTAGTGTCTCTACTTTAAAGAGTCCTCTCCTGCTGATGTTCAGGTGTATATCAGTATGTAGTGTCTCTACTTTAAAGAGTCCTCTCCTGCTGATGTTCAGGTGTATATCAGTAGTGTCTCTACTGGGACATGTCTCCATGCTTTAATGTTCAAAAAGCTCTCTATTGTTCTCATACTGCCTGTGCTGCAGCACCTCTTTTTACCCTCTGTCTGAAACCAGAGCCCAGTCTGCTCTGATTGGTTAGCTGGCCAGCTCTGTTGTGATTGGTCAACCGCTTAGAGATGTCCCACCCCTTAGCCTATCACGCACAATGTGTTGGAGCAGTAGCCTTACATAGTGATGTCATTATGCCCCGAAAGTAAACAAAAGAGTTCAATGGTGGCGTTTTAGGAACAGTTTTCACTCGGCGTTTCTTTTCACATTACAAACACACATAGTCCAATGTGTTGGAGCGCGAGCCAATAGGAGCGCAAGTGTTACATACTGTAGTGACGTCATTATGTTCCCAAAGTAAACAAAGGAGTCCAATGGAGGTGTATAAATGAATAATGAGTATGTGTGTGTGTTGCAGGGCTTCCTCCCACCCCGGTCCAGCTTCTGTATCCTGTTTCCCGCTTCAGCAACGTGAAGTCTCTTCAACATCTCTGTCGCTTCTGCATTCGACAAATGGTCCGCATCGACCACATCCAGGAGCTTCCACTGCCCAGGTACTGCTTGAAAACTACAGAAAAACAGTTAAATATTCACCTGTTGTTGACCATTTTAAAACCCAGAGGAGATTCTGGATATCTGCTTGTATCCCTCCATACATCAGAAGATGCAGAGAATGAGAATACATAAAAATGAAAAATTTTTGGCATGTTTGAGGGATAAAATGTGCCAGAAATCGGTCTCTTAATGATGTGTGAGCAAGCCTTTAAAGCAATTCCACACATTTTGATATAAAATACAGGTGAATAAGGCCCAACATTTAAGAAATACACATAAGACCATGTTCTTTTGTATTAAAAGTTATTTTTAGACGGTTTGTTTACTTATGGAAGTTAGGCTTTATGGTTATGTTATCCTAACTTTTGCTGAATTTAGAGTTTCAGTCACCGTTCATTTAGAACAATTAAACAATTCTTTACAGGCACAAATATCTGATTGTTGTTTTTCCCCTTCTTTCCTCAGACCACTAATATCGTACCTGAGTAAGTTTTATTACTACGACCCTGAGGAGGAGACGTACCTGTCCATCAAGAGCGTCCGGAGGGCGGGGGGCGGGCAGGAGGCCGAGTCGCAGACGTAGCAGCAGAGATCCTCGCAGCTCAAGTGAGGAAATATAAAGTATAATTATATATTTAACTGACATGACTCATCAGATTCACACACAACTAACTCATTAGAAATGTTTAGTATAGATAGGAACATGTGAGCGCCGCTTTAAACTAACTTGAAACTCTCACAGATTCAAATATTCAGAGGCTTTTTTATCATATGCACATTTGTTGTCTACGTAAATATTAGGTGTCAGGCTCCTTCAACAACGCTAACATGCTATCCTTGAGACATAAATAGAAATAGTATAAGAATAGTGCAAGAGACACAATTATGCTCGTAAAATGCAAAAATAATTGAACTGTATGCATGTCAAATGAAAGAAAACATACAGTTATACAGTGGAATAAAATAACAAGGAACAAGGAAAATGCAAAATAGGTAAACAATGTCAAGTGAAAAACAGAGCAAGATTATTTTGTAATTATGAATAAATAAAAAATAAAAAAGCAGATATTTATCTCCATCTTTCGGTAAAATGCAGAAATAAAGTCAACCATATACAGCGAAATATAGAGTAAGGTAAATAGATTATGTACATTTTTTTATATTTTCCTATTGTAATAATTATTAAATTAGTTCATAAATACCAAAATAAACACATAAATAAAAAAAAAATATATATATATGTAGAGTGTTAACAGATGACTATGTTCTATGTAAGAGGTTTAATGATGCAGGTTTGATGCAGGAATAATAAACATTTCTACCCGTGTCTCTGCTCAGGTTTGTGAATGGAGGACTGATCTGAACTGGTCTGCCAGTCTTCCAGCATCAGCCAATCACAGTCCCTGGATGTCTCCGTGTCTCCGGTCGGACTCGGACGGACGCGCCTCTCTCTGGACTCGGACTAACTTAAAAAGACGGACGAGTGTTTGCAGCGGGAAAAACTGTCAGTGAGACGTTCAGGTGCAGAGGACTCAGCCTCGTCTTCAGAGGGACTGACGAGACGCTCTCACCTGAGAAAACATGTGGAAACTAAAAGGAGGAGAAAAAGAGGATTACGATGAACTTGATTTTTCTGATGCTACTGATCTTGGACTTTTAAAAAAACACACAATGCACTGGTCGATTTGTACAACTGTTGTTTGCTGCCGTTTCCTTGTTTTTCCTTCCATGCTGTCAAAAAGAGAGTTTTGGGATTAAGAGATATACACACGACGAGGCCGGGCATTCACACACTCGAGGGGTCAAAGACGGACAGGCCACCATGTTGGAGGGCCTGTAATCGCACTAAGGTTACCCTATTTTTATTTATTAAAAGAAATGGAATCTTAAAGGGAAACTTCAGCTTCAAAGTGAACATTTGTAAATCTAAATCTCACCCCGTGACCTTAAACTCACATGCCTCCGTGGGGGATTAAGAGTCATGAAATGGAGAAAAGTTGTTATGATTTGAAGTAAATAAGTAAATATGAAATCTATAAATTATGCTATGAATGATATATGAACACATCCCTATGTAAAAACCTTTAGAATATTTATAAGGATATATTTGAAAAGTGTGGTGAATGGAAGTGACCGTTAAGTGGAGATTCATGGCTCAGAGTAAAACAATATTTAACGAAAATATCCTTTAAGAAATTCTAGAAGAATAGAGTTAATATCACCATGGAAACTTCTCCACTTTATCACTTACATTTTGACCATTTTTTATTGTATTACAAGCTTTGTTTAAGGTTATGTCTGGGCGCTGCAACAACAGGAGAACTACGGTATATTAAAACATCCTTTTACAAAATGTCACACAACAGGTGCAGTATAATCCAAGTCTACACACACGAATTAGGAATTAGTTAGGGCGGTGGTGGCGAAGTCGATAGGGAGTTGGCATGGCAACTGGAAGGTCACCAATTCAAGTCCCGGCAAGACCAAGTGCTACCGAGGTGTCCCTGAGCAAGGCACCGTTCCCTACACTGCCCCACCCGGGTGCCGTTCAAAATGGCAGCACACTGCTCCTTACACTAGAATGGGTCAAATGCAGAGAAACAATTTCCCCACGGGGATTAATAAAGTATATCAAAATCCAAAAACAATAAAGGTTTTTGTGTGAGAATTTTCACCATTTTTAGATAATTTGTTCGCCGGTGGAGGCATGTGAGAAAAATATCGTCTTTTTAAGAATTCAAGGGTGAACCGAGGTCATTCATTTTTATACAAATGGAAGTGAAGAAGTCCTTTAAAATGTTAGCAACAGTGCTAATGGAATGCTAATAGCAAAGAGACAGAAAATAGAAATACGTGGAAGGGTTTTTCTCAGAGGGAAGATTTTACATCATCAACATCTCAACCTTTGAATGGTTTTTATTGTGTTTTTGAGCCTGATTGTATTACAAAATTGTCATTTCATTTTATTTAGGCAAATTAGTCCAAGATTGGGCTTTCTGTGTCTGCAAAAGGGTGTTTTTTTTGTTTAGTTTTTTCTCAACTCAACACTAGTGAGTGATGAACCTGTCCCACTGAGGTCACTTTAAATGAAATGGAAACCACAGTAACAGATCATTTGTTTGTTATATCTAATGAAAAACAGGCAGATGTAATCCACTAACAACAACCGGAACATCTGAGTCAAGCTCATCCGTTCTTGTCACCATTTTTCTGCTGCTTTTTTCTCTGCATTTAGCTAAGGTGTCATGTGACTTTTCCCCACTTCAAATCTCACAAAGCTTAAATATTCAGCCTGCAGAAACAGCCTTAAATGAGCACAACCGCAGTTATTTTTAAATCCCCAAAACAATCCAAATCCTGACCTCCAGCATCTCTTGTTTTACAGACCGTCATCAAGCCCTGATCAGGTCACAGAAATCTGACCTTTTGTTTTTCAGGAAGACGTTGTTTTCATCTCCCTCTGACATGATAGATTTTTAGTTGATGTAGTCGCTTAAAAATGTCATCTCTATCCAATCAAATGATAGGTTCAGAAAATAACATCTTGTTGCTTTGTGTCCCTTTGTGTTTCATGCACTTTAGGAATGTAAACTGATTTCCTACATTTCCCAGAATGCCTCTTGGCAACCTTAAGATGAGCGTTGTTTGAAATCATATAATACATATAGCAAACTTGTCGCCCAATTATAATAATTAAGTTACCTTTGATACTAATAGCACAACATGTCCTTGAGTTGCAATGCATTCTGGTACATTGAGGCTTATGTTGGTAGATGACTTGGTAATATTGATCTCTACAGTATGATGTGATTTTAACATATAGTAGCTGGAAAAACACACCAAAGATACGAATATCTTCAGAAATGCAATTAACAAAACAAACAGCTGATTTTAACAAAGTTGTATTTAATATAGCCACCTCTCTGAATGCAAAAAATGAAAAAGATGTCACTTTTTATTGTTGAGATTATATAAATTATTTATTTATTATTTATTAATAATGCACTTCTGTTGATGGGTAGAACACAGAACAGAAACCTTACCTTTTTAGATTCAGAGGTAAGAGAATTATAAGGGTAATTGTCTTTCTGAATTCGATGTTATGGTACCAGGAGTTTAAAAGCCCACATTTTTTTCCCAGAATGCCCTGCCTCAGAGTGTGTGTACCTGCCGTGACTCATCTCTACCTGTCGGATTTATTTGTTGAAATGCCCAGGTGTGTTTTGCTCATTCTATTTCTCAGTACCCTGACGCTGGCTACTGGCTCAGCGCTTTCAGTAAAAAATCAAGAAAAATAAACTTTGCTGTGTGGGATCATTTTTAAATTTGGATATTTTACGGCGGTGGATATTCCAGAGTTCCTCATTTGATAAGGATAATGGAAATATTGAGGACCTGTTGCCGAGCCCAGAAAGGTTAACCCAAAGCTATGTGCACATGTTGTTTAGCTGTGTAGATGAAAACAAAAATGGATGTCAAGATGTTTCTCCAAAAAGCCAACATTTCATTCACAGCGGTTAACATTGAAAAATATAACAAAATGAGGTCCAACTAACTCCACCAGTAGATATGGATGTTCAAAAGTCATATTGAAGTCATAGCAAAAAAGTGTTAGTACCGTATAAATCTAAAATACCCCAAAAAGAAGTACTCATTACATGTGAAATGGCCCAATTCAGACTTATAATTTCAAGTAGATATACTTTTACTGAATTTCAATAACAGGTGCTGAAATAAGTATCTTTGCTCCGTAGCTTAATCCATAATAATGTTCATCTTTATAGATTAAATCAATAATGTTATTCTTCAAAGCTACCAGTAGCCAATATTTTTTAAAAGTATAGTAAAAAAGTAGTACATTTGCTTCCAAAATCTATAGTAGAATAAAACAGAAAAATGTAAATACACGTACCTCAAAATTGTACAATGGTAAAATACTTGAGTACATAATCACATTATACAATAAGTCAAAAACAGTAAATATTTATATTTTGTAATCTGAAAACATAATTAAGAGGCATTTTTCCATTTAAAATATGAGATTTTCTAGCTGATACATTTTCTGTCAATGGATTCCATCATTTGAAATGTTTAATGTGGAATATCCAGACAAAAGCAAGTGACTTCAACAGTGCTAACGGTGAGCATATGCATGTCTCTGACAGTTAACACGATATAACAAGGTTCTTCTGTTTGAGCTTCCTCTGCAAGTGCTTCATTTTTAACAGCAGCTATTCACTTTGAAATGTTTAAGGCTGAATACTCTGGCGCTATATCGCTGTGGCTGGCTCATGAAGCTTGTTAAGTGATAAAAAGAGTGAGATATCTCGGGTAAATTATGCAGCTCTTTCTCTCTGATGCTCTCCACAGAGGTGCCTGGGGAGAAGGTGATAGACAGTATATCTGCATCCTCCAACGCTAACTACTGCACACTCCAGGTGAAGAGGGAGACCGTGCTTTAGCTAAAAGCAAGACTCTAGTTTCCCGAGCACTTTAAAGAAAAATTCAGGGAGAGGATTACTCAGCAGAGCCACAGACACCATGCACGGTGAATAAGGTCAAGTGCACTCTTTGGGAGAATGGAGTCTATATGAAAAGGGCCGGCATGCATGGTGGACGTGAAAAGAGACACGAGGTAGTGATCCAATGGGAGAGAGGGACAGACCATCGTTGTTGGATGAAAACGCTGGAGGCCAGATCTGAGAATGTGGACGACAGATGGGGACGGAGCAGAGATAAAGTACACACATCCTTTATTTTCATGTGCACATTAGCTACAGTGTAGATATGGCAATGAACAACTTAGGTCACAGGCTGACCTCCAACAGGCTTACCTCTTAGTCCTCCTACAATGCAACATGAATATATGACCAGAGATGGTAAAAGTACACACATCCTTTACTCAAGTAGAAGTACTCGTGTTTAATAATACTCAAGTAAAAGCAAATAAGTATGGGCTTCAAAATGTACTTAAGTAAAAAGTACCCATAACTTTGTGTCCTTGGGCAAAACACTTCACCCTCATTTTCTGTATTCACTGTTACATGTGTGATATGTGTAATATAATATAATATAAAGCTTTGAGCATTCGGAAAAGTGCTTTATTAAATGTAATGAAACACAGATTAAAACTAAAGTAATGAAGCTGTTTGGAAAATGTAAGAAATAGAAAGTACAGGTATTTGTGTTAAAAAAGTAAGAAGTAAAAAGTTGTCAGAAAAATAAGTAGTGGAGTAAAGGCGGAGTGGACTAGTGCGTTGGTGTTGAGATCAGGGGGTTCTCAACACAGTGGGGTTTGAACCCCACTGCAGTCAGCATGTCGTTGTGTCCCTGAGACACTTCACCCCAAATTGCTCCTGTGGGGATTGTCCACAGTATTGAGTATGGAAGTCACTTTGGATAAAAGCTTCTAACAAGCAACATGTAAAGTAAAGTACTGATACCAGTAACATTTCTACTCCAATATTTCCGACCTCTGGGACTGAGAGCCACGACTGGAACATTTCCTCTGCAGGGTGAGAGCTGGGATCATATTTATATTATGTATTTATTTCAACAAGTTCCATTCATACAAATACATTGATCTCAGAAAAGAGAAGAGACGAACTATGCCAGATTGAAGCTAGCTCATTTCCATCTGCAGTCCACACTAACACACACACACACACACACACACACACACACACACACACACACACACACACACACACACACACACACACAGAGACTTGCATACATAAACGAGGCTCTGCATTGTGAGTCATTCTGAAGCTATAGAGTCATGCCCAGAAACACATTCATTATGCAGACGTGCAGCCGCGACTGACACAACACATTCACATCAACACGGCCGAGTGTGCATGAACGCATCGCGGCAGGACATGAATCGAGGGCAGGAACCAATGAGCGGTCAACAGGAAGAAACACACACACACACACACACACACACACACACACACACACACACACACACACACACACACACACACACACACACACACACACACACACACACACACACACCGTCTGGTTGCAGATAGGGAGCGTTCTGTCCTAATTAGAGGTTTTTATTTAGAAATCTTACACAGAACATTTATTTTTGGTAGTTTTTGCAACATAAGGGTTAACTTGTAGCTAAAGTCAAATATTTCAACAATTAATGGTTAAGGTTAGTTTATTCATATAGCACATTTACAGACGTGCTTTCCATCAACATGTATGGATTGCAAATAAATGAATACATTTCCCAGTAATGTACTTTAATATTTTTGAAGCCAATATTTAGTCTGCAAAAGGAATGGAAGCTGAGCAATCTGGTGCCACTAAATGTTTTTAAAGCTCGGTTGGATGCTACTCAATCGGAAGCTATTGGTACCTGTTTCTGTGGATAATGATGTAAATGATCCCGGACTGATGTCCTTGTTGTTCTGTCTATGTTTCTATGTTTCATTTGGAACTACTTGAGCAGGTCTCCCTTGAAAAAGAGATCAATGATCTCAATGGGATTCATCTGATTAAATAAAGGCTTGAAATGAAATGAATATTGTTCTTGTATCTAGTGTCTCACTTACTCAGAATAAATACAATTACCAAAAGTCAAAACCCAGTGATTTTAGCATTTAAAAAAACTCCTTAGTGTAGATGTTGTTGACTGTTTCTTTGTGTCACCGGAGTATGAAGACACAGGTGTCCTGCTATGCCTTAAAATGATGCATTATAATCAAAATACCTCCAGAAGATGTAGTTTTTCTCTCACTTTTGGGGGATATTGTGCACAAACAGCAAACACAGGGATCTTGGCTTATTGTTGTTTTTCTTTAAACATTTCCTGTAAAATAAAAAGTCTCTGCAATGTAAAACACAGAGGCTCGTACAGGATGTTCTTATGTGTTTACTGTAATGAATGCAGCTCTGATTTATGCATGATAAAATGCTACACGTGGAACATAAAGAATGAACACATGTTCTCTCCCTCTCTGCAGGGACGTTCAGCCTGTGGTGTCACCCGAAGTTTGAGGACCGCTGCCACTCGGTGGTGGAGTTTATCGAGCGAGCCATCATGCACTCCAAGAACGGAAAATTCCTCTACTTCCTGCGCTCCAGAGTCCCAGGTAAAATATAGGTCAGAGATCTGCACGCAGCCTGAGACCATCAAAAATGGATGTGAGCTGCCACTTAGTGAGAAGTGCCTGAGACCGTCTGTGCGTCTGCAGCCTCTGTGGTTGTGAGAATGCATCAAATGTTTGTTTTTGTGTTCATATCAGTGCTGGAAAAGTACAAATACTCAAGTACATTCTGCATGTGTGGAAGCCCAGATCAGCTGATAGCCGATAGGAAGCTTTTATTTTTAAAACACTTTTAGATGTTTTTTTGCCACATTAGCGTTGTGGCTAGTCAAATCATTTACAATAATTACATGGATTTCCAATGGTCGTATTAACACATTTTCTTAAAGGTGGGGTAGGTAAGTTTGAGAAACCGGCTCGAGGTACACTTTTTGTTATATTGCATGGAATGCTCTTAACATCCCGATAGCAATGAATATCTGAAGTGCTTTGACAATAAATACATAAAAACATTTCATCTCTGGAAGCCGTGGCGCTGTAAAAAGCACGACCAATCATCTGAGCCGGCCCGGCTAAAGTAACTGGATGGCCTACCTGCCTGTCAGCCTTCAATCTGTGCACAAATTTATCTCGTGCCCTCATTGGTCATGTGCGCGTTCGTGTGTGTTGGAGGAGGGGCTCTGTAAGGAAGTGGCAGATTTTCTCCGGTTGTGTATTTTCAAATTCAAGCGCACTCGAGCTGGTTTC